TTGATGGATCTCCTAACCCAGCGGCGGAGCGTCGGGATCGGAGATGCCGTTGCAAGTGTTAGCGCGATCGGCGCAGGGTGATCCTGCACCGCTTCCACAATCTCCCCGTTGCCGTCGGGGCCGATTATCCAAGTCATGGAACCGACCGTGAAGATCTGGCTCGGCTCAGGAAAGGCCATGGAGCTCGGGAAAGTGACCATCTGGTTGGCCATGGATTTTCTCATTGCATTGGCTTAGTATATATACATGAGCTAGTACATGAACTGTTTTTTCTTCTTACTGGTTTGTCAGCTAAGCTGGGGACTAGCTGTGTGCTCGGCTAAGCTGGGGACTAGCTGTGTGCTCGGCTAAGCTGGGAATTGGTTGTTTTGACTAAGTGATCGTTGAAATTCTTTGATCCTGACACCAGGTGTCTTCTTCACCTACTGTCAGGCTCGGGGACTACAATGTATATATTGCACCTTGCGGCGCATATATCAGTACTAATATCCTCTTTGCCTAAGTCATGGATGATGATCATCTAACTTCGCCAACGAAGCCTAAGTGTGTACACTTCACCTAAAGTAGAGAATTTTTAAATTTTAAACTTGAGCTCCTTACATCCTTTTGACAAGCCTTACTTGGCTAAGTCCGAGATCAGGTCACCTGATAAATTGGCTGGCTTCAAATTCCACCGATCGGATCACCGATTAAAGCTGGTTTGTATTTTCGATTCGTTGATTGGAATACCGATTAAAGCTGGTTGAATTACCGATTAAAGCGATCGGTACTGCTGATTGATTGGATTACGGTTAAAGCGGGTCGGATTACCGTTAAACCGAGTCAAGACTTCGCTCTGTTGATTGGATTACCGTTAAATGGTGAATTACCGATTAAACCGGGTCGACACGTCGTTTTGTTGATTGGATTACCGATTAAACCGGGTGATTTGAATTCTTTGGTGACTCCAAGTTAAACCGCTTTCGGACTTGCTCAAGACGATGTTGCTCGGCGGATACAAGGCGCTTCGAGGACTAGCCGTGAGAGGTATAACCTGAGCACCACGGCAATGGACATGGGCCGACCGTCGTGGGAGGTCCGACCCATAAGATCAAGGCCTACGGTGCCCGATTACGGTCGGCGGCACCGCGCAAGGCAATCAGAAGACATCTTGGCGATGAAGGAAGATCTGTTCGGATATGCTAGATATCGTATTCCTTGTAAATACTTACCATATAGCCAAATAGATCTAGGCCTAAACCGACTTGTAACCTGTTGACACCAAAATTTGGTAATTGGGAAGAAAGCGGCTAGTAACGTAAAAAGAAGAAAATCTCCGATAATGACCATGACTCGAAAGCCGATGAGATATATACGATGGAGTCGTTCATGCTCGTAAATTAATGGGGAGCAAACAAAAGGTCAAACAATTTGGCGATTACGATGTGCCTACCATCTTGTTTGTTACATATACGTGATGCATTATTGGGCAACCCGGCAAGGTAAATGGAAAAGGATGAGAGGCCAAGTGTTATACGAGCTATGCTTGACATGGATGCCAACAAGATTAAGATCGATTAACGAGGAAGGGATATTTTAATATTTGTTTGGTAGGGCTGCATAAGGAAATAAATCAAATATATCTTTGGATGGAGATGTGAAGCTTCTTGATTAAAGAAAGAGTCCATGCATGAAGGAAATAATACGATCCACAGTTGCCGACGTAGTGATTAGTGAAGATGCAAGCCAATAAAGATGCGCCCAAGCAAATATATACATTACATGTTACCGTGCCCTTTGTGGGGAAGATTTCCAAGATCGGCTAGTCAAGGTGGGCCCGCATGTGGGAAGAAGGACATTGGCAAACAAAACGAAAGCGATTCGGCTAAATGCTTGTGCGATTCGGTTACTTGAGGAAGGTGGTGACTCCATTCGGGAAAGCGAAGATGGCAAGCAAAGCCGATCGAAAAGATGAAAGTTGTAATAATAAAGGACTCGAGAGTTTGGGGCAAGGAATCGTAGTTTCCAAGTTTGTTTAAGAGTTCCTTTGTAAATCGTAGTCTTTTAGGACTCGTGTTTCGTCTAGGGTATAAATATTGACCCTCGACCATTGTAATAGGCGTTCACAACCAAATCAATACAACCGCCCCGTGCCAACTTTCGAGTCCTTTTGTCGTGGTCGTCGAGTTCTTGAGAGGAGTCATCGATCCGTCGACCTCGTAAGTTCCGACAACCTTGTTATCATGTTTAGTATCATGCGGTGGATTTAGGCGTGATGCAAGTAGTCTTGTTTGTTTTCAATGATCGTATGGCGGATCTTTGCTTGACAATCAAGAAGTCTTTGCTTATACTTTGTTTATGAGTAGATACTGTAGTGCGTGCAAAGCGTTTGCTCAATATGCTTAGTGGAAGCAAGCGGTTATCGGCTCTATTAGATTACGGCAAAATCTAAATAGATTCATCAAGTTATCTGTGTTGCATGTTTTAAATATTTTATATATTTGTAACACACTTTTGCCCAATCTAGATTGATATTGTTCGCCCTCTTCTATGGTTTTATTCGAGCTTCAATGATCATTACTTTCATAATACCTTTGCAAATAGATAACATGCTCGTAATGGTCAATTATTTTAATCTAGATTGTCACATGTTGTGGGTTCATGTATGTTAATCACGTTTAAGTTTTTGACGAAACTAGTGTGTCGTATGGCGAGCGCTTGAGTTTTAGATTGGCTTAATCGTGTTTATCTACACGTTCCTTCTTCATGGACCCCAACTCTTTGGATTCTTCGAGCTTGGATATGCATTAACGCATAATCAATTTCACTTGTTCAAACATGTCTTCCCATGCATATGCATTCGGCAATCGAGATCTTTACGTATGTCCATCCTACGATTAGCGAATGATTTATAAACTTGTTGGCGCATGACTTCCTATAGTCGTATGTCGTTGTAAGTGGTAACCGGGGCGTATACGAATCGGCTATCGGTCTCACCCGACATGTTCCGGTTTGACATTTAACTGTTTTATCCTTGTCGGTTTCTTTTTCAGTCAAACCGACCGGCACGTTCGGATCACGAAGCACCCGGGCACCCGATTGAAGCCACGCTTTTGACTGCTTTGTGTATGCAGCATGAAAGTGCGTCACATTTTGTGTCAACATAACCCTACCTCCCAGACTATATAAGGCGGGTATGGACCCCCCCCCCTCGAATTCATCTCATAAACAATACAATACACCAAAGACACAGGACGTAGGGTATAACGTCGATCAGACGGTCCGAACCTGTCTAAATCGTTGTCTTTGCGCTTGTGTCACCATCCGGTTCCTATTACGCGCACCTCTACCGACTCATCTACTACCGTGGACATACCCCTCGGTAGACTGCCAACCATATTTCGTCGACATATGGTGAGTACACCAACTACCTACTCTTAAGTACTACTAGTACATTGGCTTAGATCAGCCCACTACCAAGACATGGCTGATGTACTTCTACCAACTACAAAAACTAGATGGCCTATTGCCTTACAAGCTACAGCACTACGGAGGGGACAGCCATGCTGACCAAAATCTAATCCTAATCTGCAGCAAAGAGAGAATTTGGGAGCAGCAGATTATGTCTTCCAGAGATACAAGATTGTAATAGTTTCCACCATTATTTTATTTGCTTCTTTTTGCCGACCTTTCAAAAAAAATTGCTTCTTATTCAAGGCAATTTCCCAAAAATTAGAATGATAGCATGCTAACATGGTTTGGTAAAAAAATGCGGTCAGTTTAATCACTTTCCCATGTATTTGTGAAAGGGATGAAATACTCTGTAAATTTTAGAGAACAGATGACAACGTGATAACAATCTAGCTTGGTTTGGTAATTCTGAACAGTAATTCGTTGATCTGAATAGATGACATACTATGCAGCCAAAGAGGACGCGATGACAAAGCCCCCTTTGTCCATGCAAATCTGTTTGCATCTTAACATCTCAATAAGTATAATTGGTCTGCCATGGATTGATATACTGTGATTGGTTAAATCAAAAAAAGTTCAAATGTTTAGTACCAACTTCTGTAGTAAAAATGTTCAAACTTTACCCTATAGATTTTGTTTGTCGGATGAACTCAAAACCGTCATAGGTAAAAAAAAGCAATTGATCCAAAAAAAGACTAAAATATATAATTGCTAATGCTATGAATTGAGGTTACTACTTTTGTGTCTTTTCTTGCCAAAAAAAAGGATAGAACTAACTATTTGCAACTTGAGGTTATCACAAAAAAATTCAATGTTTTGGTCTCAGGTTACCACTACTTGTTTGCTACTTGACGCTGTTTAGTGCAGTTTATGAGATTGCTTATCCTCTCTCAATGCTCTTGTTAAATAGCCTGCTCCGGTGATCCCATTAGCAGGGGCAGTGCTCCCTGGAGCTTGGTGTCCACGATGACGCCGTAGTCCCTGTTCTACACTCTCGACGATTGAAAGGGCTGATAACGACCTCCCGGCACGAGGGGTGGGGCTAGGAATGCTCTGGTTTGCTGAAATTATGTGCTCTGTTTTCAGCTTTCAATGGAATATATTTTTGAACAGCTATGTTTTTACCTTTTCTGTTTTCAGTGGAATATATTTGAACATCAAGGAGACTGGAGTTGCAAGGAGCTTTTGCACGTGTATCCCTGTGCATTTGGAGTATTACACGTCTCAAACATCCAGATTTTATTAGTACCAAATATTATCTAGCTTGGGGGGGAAACCCATACAAGCATCTAGGTCTACCCGTAGGAAAAAGGAGTGCGCGATACTCTTGGCCTCTAGTTCTCACATTATAACATACATTTCAAACATATATTATCATATGATTGTTTTTTTCCCGTTGCAACACACAGGCATGATTCTAGTATAGTCACCAAACGAATAACAATGCTAGTTAAAGCCTAAAACATAAATCATATAGCATGCTATCTCGCGCAGCACAATACATACATGAATGGTAACAGATTAACAATAAAATAGTATGGAACACTCACGTTTTCAACTTGACACTGGATCCGGAATACGGCTTGATTTGAGGGTGTTCGTAGATCAATAGCTCTGTAGTTCAAGCGGGTATCTTGACCAACACGAACAAGCTTTTCACCAGCCTGTCATAGGAATTAGGTATAGTCAATTTAAAAAACTTCAATATGAATCTAAAATTCATAGGTAGAAAAGCTAAGCACAAAATTGAGTGCTTCCTTCAAATAGAATGCAAGGAAAATCACAGGATGTGCATAAGGCATACCAGTTCAGCCTTCTCAAAATCTGCCTCACTCCGAGCCGCGTCTTCAAGGTTAATTGGAAGGGTCGGGATAGCCCTATTGATGCAATAGATCTTCCTCACTTGAATCTCAACCTACAGATTACATCCAAAGCGACCACAGAGACAATCCATTCATTAGTTCAATATAGACAGTCACGGGATCAAAACAAACCATGTTTGCAGCAGCATGCAGTAGATTGAAGCGTGAATTAGGCTACGCCAGCAAACCTAATTTATACTGACAACAATCCAACATGCATGTATATGTACAACAACAGAGTCGTCCCATGTTAATTCATCGTCCTAGCTACTTCGAAAAAAAATCATCATCCTAGAGACATCATGAAATATACTACTAACATGTATTGGATCAGTTGGTACCGGTTTTACTACTCGTGATGATAAGAAATTACCATATCTGCGTGAAGCCATGAATGAATTACAAAGCAGGAGACAAGTCAGACGAACCTGCTGTGTGGTGGCCTTGAGGGGCTCCTTGGGGAGGGAGACGACGCCCTCAACGTCGACGATGGACTCCTTGCTGAAGGCGGTGGCGAAGCGCACCATCTGCGTGCTGACGCCGGCGTCGGCGCTGGCGACGAGCACGCACTGCACGGTGCTCATGCTCTGGCGCAGCACGACGAAAGCCATCTTCTTGCTGACCGGGCGGATAGCCTGCGCGGCTCCGCGGATAAGCACGGAGCGGCCCGCAGCAGAGTCGTCGAGGTCGCCGATTTGGGACCACGAGCGGCCGGAGATGGCCTTTGACTGGATCTCCTCTACGGGGACATCGCCGTAGTTGGCAGCGAATGGGTCCTCGGCATCCGCCGGCTGCTGCTGCTGCTGGCGCTGCGTCGCCTTCTCGGCCTTCTCCGCCTTCCTGGCGTCCTTCTTCTGCTGCTTCTTGCTGAGGGTGGCGGCGGAAAGGCCAGCAGCTAGTTCCTCTGCGGCGGCGGCAGAGGGGGCGGGTGGAGGCTCCGACGACATCGTGGCGACGACGAGAAGCGACCAAGGCTAGCCTACGAACGAAGTGGTCTGGTCGATACAGATACGGCGTGCGCCCGGCGGGGTGGAGGTACGGGCGACTGCGGGAGGGAGTACCGGCGGGCGGCGGAGCTGCGGAAGACGGCGCCCGGCGCCCGGCGGCTAGGGTTATGGAGTAACGGAGAGAAGGTCGGGGAGTCGGACAGACGCCGCGCTTCGTTCGGGACACAGATCCGGTGCAGTTGTTACTGCTACTGCAAGATAAGCAGTGGGTGCACCCGAGCCATCCACACGTGAAGGAACGGCTTAGATGAGAGCTCTCCTTCTCCCTCTTTTTTTTTTTGTATCATTTAATTTTCTATCAGCCTCTGCTATCAGTCGGTTCTTGACTAAAAAATTAGAGATCAGAAAAAAGAAGGCATAAATATTACAATAATACAATTAAGACAGGATAGCCCGTTAACAATATCTCCTTTTTATTAAAAAAAGCCCGTTAACACTATAATAACATACTCGTCCATGTCCCTAAAGAAAATCGTTTTTTTGACATCGATATAGTCTTCAAAAATAACTTTGACGGCTACTTTTTGTTATAAAATATTTATAAAATATTGTCAATCTATACTTTTTATAAAATTACATTTCGAGATGAATCTACTTACATCATTTTTATATTTTCACACTCGAACCAAAAGTATTTATTTGTAGTCAAAGTTTAAAATATTTGACTTAAGACAATGTCAAAACGACTTTCTTTAGAACATGGAGGGAGTGGTATATTGCATATATTTTACTCTGGACTGGGAATTAATGTCCTTTAATTACATTTACAAAGGAAGGAGCATATGGCGAACACAAAAGAGCAAACGATAAGCTGAGATCCTTTTGCATGTATCAAGGTTCGTTGTTCCTGTTTTAAGAGCAATGCTAATAATGCAGTCGACTGTTGGCTCTACGAAATTTACAGCCAATCTATCAGCCTACTCGTATAATAGTTAGCCGGCTTACAGCCCACTTCTCTGTCTCACAGAACTTCTTGGTTCATGTGCATAAACTGACTGTAAGCTTACAACCTACTTCTCTTCTCTCTCCTCCATGGCAGCATATAACCTGCTTTCAGTCCCTTATAATACTTGCTCTAGGATACAGAAACTTGCATACCCCAATTGCTGATTTACATTGACAAAAGAGCATATGCTCGACACAAGAGAGCATATGGTTAAACTAAGATCATTTTGCTTATACCAAGGTTGTGCACTTCTGCGCCTTATTAATGTACAAAACTTACATCAGACATTAGCAGACTTTATCATACCGCCAAAATGCAGCCTTTGAACATAAACAATTTAGAGATAATGATTTTTCAAATTGCTGCAACATGTGCAATTAACCTATACTTAAATAACATATTCTCTAAAAGTGCCGGCCATCTATCCCATGGTTAAAACTGCAACATGTACAATTAGCCAGAGGAAGGAATATTTTGCAAAGGTTTTTGTACCGAAGTGCGTCGCTTCGCTCGTCTCAGAAATAAAATGGCGCCAAACACTTCTTTGCTGCTGCCATTTCCCTCAAAAGGGCTGTTGGTAGAATAAAGTCAAGAGAAAAGAAGGAAAAAGGAGGGCTCTCATCCAAGCCGTTCATTCTCCTATGAATGGCTCAGGTGCAGCCACTGCTTATCTTGCAGTAGTAGTAACAACTGCACACGATCTGTATCCCTTCGGTAGATGTCGTGCCTCTCTCCTGTCTACGTTGGGCCGGAAGACTACAGCATTTGGTCCAAATCCTAGAACTGGATCAGAAAATTACATAGAGAGAACTACCCGTGAGGCCCTAAAAAAAAGTCCGGCTTCTTTCGTGACCCTTTTTTTTTAAACTCATCTACGAGGCCCGAAAACTAAATTTAGATACCCATATGGCATTTCCGTTAGTTTAGACTTTTAATGGTGTTATAAGCGATACCCCTGGCAAAAAAGAAATAATTAAAGTGCAGAGTTAAGTCTGCTTTAGATTTGGAGCAATATTGTGTATGGTTTAAAGTTTTCATGATTAGTTGGGATAAAATGAAGAAGCCCAAAAAGGATGGAGGAATGGGTTTCAGAGAAATACACTGTTTTAATCTAGCAATGCTTGCTAAACAAGGGTGGCGCATTTTGCAGAATCCCTCTTCGCTTTGTGCTCGAGTTTTAAAGGCTAAATACTTCCCTGACTGTGGGGTGCTCCAGGCGGTCGGCAAACCAGGTATGTCATACACCTGGACGAGCATTTTACAGGGTATAAGCCTACTGAATGATGGTGTAATCTGGAGGGTTGGCAACGGAGAGAATATCCGATTTTTTTTTTTTTGAGAAAACAGGAGGAGCAGGGAGCTCCTACTGAGATTATATTAAAACAAAAAGAAGTACAGGCAAACAAATTACAAAAACGATACTAGAGGGCAAAGGGAAGGAGAAGAAAGGGAATTAAGAAACAAAAAAGAGAGGAAAAAGATTATTTGAAGCAGGCAGGGAATAAGAATTAAAAGTAAGACTGAATCCATGATTCTAACTAGGGTGTAGTCCTTCTTTTCGTCCTGTGAAGTAGCATGAGTGCCTCTGCTGCCAGATTGCTTTTGTAATATGAAACACAGAGACATTTCTGTTTCTAAATATGATATCATTTCTCATTTTCCAAATGGACCAGCAAGCTAGGATGAAAATGTCTAGAGCAAAGGGGACATTCACCAAGGCTCTCCAAGCTTCAAAAATCTGTATAATCAACATGCTGTCACCATAGACAAAATTTAAAGTACCTCAGCAATCCTTGGCAAATGGACAGTAGAACAGCAGGTGCATCAAAGTTTCTTCGTTTTGTTGTTGACAGAGGACACAACTGTAATCCTCTAGATGCATTCTTCTTCTTCTTAGCATATTCCTTGTGCTTAATCTATCTTTTAGAACAAGCCAAAAGAAGACTTTATGCTTACCCTAACAAGAGGTTTTCCAGAGCCATTTATAAATTGGGTCAGCCTGAGTGTGTCCAGCAAGCATGTTGTATGCCTTGGAGGATGAAAAATGTGGTCACCCCCAGATATAAGTCCAACTGTCATTTGAGGGAGTGAGAGCCATAGCATAAAACTCGGCCTCCAACTCTTGCAACTGCTCAAAGGCTTCCACAGAGACAGACAGATTGAATAGATCAGAGATATCATCAGTGGCGTGAGCTTTGCTTACACTGATCCATTTGTTCTTGGCATAAGAGTGAAGTTCAGGGAACTGAAGTTTCCTGACTTGGCCATTCCATAGGTCCTCCCAGAGTAGGCAGGATTTTCCATTAGAGACAAGGATTGAAGCCAACCCTTTGTACTTGTCAAGCAATTTTAAGACATCTGGCCACCAGAAGGATCCTTTTGGGATAGCAAGATTTGGCAGCTTATCATTTCTATAGTGCTTGTCCCAAATTAACTTCACCCAAGGGAGATCACTCCAGTTGAAGAATTTGTGAAGATGCTTGAGTAGTAAAGCTTCATTTTGGGTCTGCAAGCTAAGAACTCCAAGTCCTCCTTCCCCTTTTGAAACACATACCATTGGCCATGCTGCCTTAGCAATTTTCTTGGCATTGGCTTCTGCTCCTCTCCAAAGGCATTGTTTTTTGGCTTTGTCAATTTGTTTGATTACTGTCTTTGGCAGGGATATTGAACACATGGTGTAAGTTGGCAAAGCTGTCAGAACTAAGTCTGTGAGTGTCAGGACTGAGTTTGTGAGCTCCAATCTACCAGCCTGACTCAGAAATGGTGAGAAATAGCTCAACCTCCTCTCGCATTTATTTATGAGTGGCAGGAAGTCATCCACTCTTGGTCTGCTTATGCCCATGGGAAGACCCAAATAGGTAAAAGGGAATGATCCAGTGGCACATCCAAATGTCCTAGCAAGATGCTCAAGTTTTTCATTACTTATGTTGATGGGAACCATCATTGATTTGGAGAAGTTGATTCTCAGGCTAGTTGAATCACTAAAGGATTGTAGGATTCCTTTTAAGAAGAAAAGTTGTGGAGCTGAAGCTTCAAGGATGATAAGTGTGTCATCAGTGTACTGGATGATAGGGAAGTCATTAGTTGGGGCTGGTACTGGCAGCTTCAAAAACCCATCTTGAGCAGCCTTATTGATGATTGATTGCAGAAGATCAGTTGTTAATACAAATAATAGAGGGGAGAGGGGGTCTCCTTGCCTGACCCCTCTTTTGCAATGGAAGGTTTTACCAGGGACACTATTGAGAAGGACTGCAGATGTTCTAGAACTGAGGATGGAATTGATCCAATCAATCCATTTCTATCCAAAGCCTTTGTATTTCATGACCTCCATTATTTTTGTGCTCAATTCTGTTAAAGGCCTTTTCAAAATCCGATTTGAGGACTACAATTTCTTTCTTTGAATGGTAGCAGAGGTGCAAATATTCAAAAGACCAGGCAATACAGTCTTGAATAGTTCTGGTTCTTATGAAGCCATATTGATTCTGGTGGACCAACTGAAGAATCACTATTTGCAGCCTGTTAGCTAGAAGCTTGGTGATCAACTTAATGGAGCAAATAAGTAGAGAGATGGGTCTAAAGTCACCAACTTTTTGAGCTCCATCAATTTTGAGAATGAGAGTGATGAAAGAATCATTGATGCTTTGGACACAGACTGAGTTGTTTTGAAAGGCAAAGCAAAGAGCATAGAAATCATCTTTTATGAAATACCAACACTTCTTGATGAATTCACTATTAAATCCATCTAGCCCAGGAGCTTTGTTATTAGGGATGTTTCTCACAACAGAATCAATTTCCTCTCTAGTGAAGGGATCTTCAAGCCAAGCCAAATCAGTGCTACTGTCCAAGAATGAACTGAGGTTAAAGACAATATTTCTAAATTCTGATCGCCCAAGCCTTTCTTTGAAAGCCTCCCATAGAACCTTGGCTTTGTCAAAGTGATTAGAGACAATCTCACCATTATCCTTCTGAAGCTGAGAGATAAGATTGTTTCTGA